CTGTTATTGCTAGAGGAAGATGATATCTCATTGTTGTTTTGATTTGCATCTCTCTAATGATTAATGATCATGAGCAATTTCTCATGTGTTTGTTAGCTGCCTGTATATCTTTTTTGGTGAAATGTCTGTTCAAGTCTTTTATCTGTTTGTGAATTGAGTTCTTTGTCATTTTGGTATTGAGGTGTTGAAGTTTTCTATAGATTTTGGAGATAAGTCCTTTGTCATATATGTCATAGGCAAATATTTTCTCACAATCTGTAGGTTCTCTTTTTACCCTTTTGACGAAATCTTTCAAAGCACACAAGAATTTAATTTTTAAAAGGTCCCAGTCATCTAGATTCTCTTCTATGTCCTGTGCATTCTGTGTTATGCTTGACAGTCTATTTATGCCGTAAATTAGGGCTCCCAGATTTGCCCCCTTTTTTTTTATCTTTGATCAGTTTTATAGTTTTGGGTTTCACATTTAAGTCTTTGATCCAGCTTGAGTTTGTATTTGTGAATGGGGTGAGGCATGGGTCTTGTTTCATTTTTCCGCAGATGAATATCCAGTTTTGCCAGCACCATTTGTTAATGAGGCTGTCTCTTCAAATTTAATGTGTTTTGAACCTTTGTCAAAGATCAGTTGTCCATAGACGAATGGGTGTATATCTGGACTCTTGATTCTGTTCCATTGGTCTAGCTGTCTATCATTGTACCAATATTGTGCTGTTTTGACTACTGTTGACTATATAGTAGTTCATAATGTCTAGGAGTGTGAGACCTCCTGCTTTGTTTTTCTTCTTGAGAAGTGCTCTGCTTATCGAGGGTCTCTTTTCGTTCCATATGAAATTAATAATTAGTTTTTCCATGTCCTTAAAAATTTTTCTTGAAGTCTGGATTGGGATTGCGTTAAATGTATAGATTGCTTTAGGTAGTATTGACATTTTCACAATGTTTAGTCTACCCATCCACGAACAAGGTAGGTTCTTCTATTTATGTAGTGCCCTTGTTGTCTCTTGTAGCAGTGTTTTATAGTTTTCCCTGTGTAGGTCTTTTGTGTCTCTGGTGAGGTTTATTTGTAGATATTTTATCTTTTTTGTAGCTATAGTAAATGGTACAGTTTCCCTTATTTCTTTATCAGAGGACTCCTTGCTGGTGTAGAGAAATATAACTGATTTTTGTATGTTGACTTTGTATCCTGCCACTTTGCTGAACCTCTTTATTAGTTCCAGTTGCTTTTTTATTGAGTCCCTTTGGTTTTCTATGTACAAGATCATATCATCCATAAATGGAGATAATTTTTCTTAAGGAGTATGTTGTTCAGTTTCCATGTTTGCTCTCTTTTGGTTGATCTTCCTATTGATTTCTGATTTTGTAATATTGAAATTTGTGCACATGCTTAGCAGTATTTAAATTTTTTAAATTTATGAAGGCTTGCTCCATAGCCTAACACATGGTCTATCATGGAAAATGTGCCATGCACACTAGAAAGGAATGCATAATGTGCTGTTGTTGGTGAAGTGCTCTGTAGAAGTTAGTGGATTGTATTGTTTAGCTCTTCTTCATCTTTGGTGAGTTTCTTTCTAGCTATTCTATCTTTCTTCTAAAATGATGTATTAAAGCCTCCCACTATGACTGTGGAGTCATCTACTTGCTTTTTCAACTCTTTTAAAATCTGATTTATGTATTTTGGGGCTTTATCATTGGCTGCATAGATATTTATTATGGTTGTATCTTCTTGTTCAATTGATCCTTTAATCATTATATAATATCCTTCCTTGTCTAGTATGGTGGTTTTTGTTTTAAAGTTAATTGGATCAGAAATTAATATTGTCACTCCTCCTCTTTTTTGATTGTCATTTGCTTGGTTATCTTTTTCCCACCTTTGATTTGTGCTCTATTTTTGTCTTTGTCTCTACGGTGTGTCTCTTATAGACAGCATATTGATGGGTTTTGTTTTCTTATCCAGTCTGTAACTCTCCATCTCTTGATTGGTGCATTTAATCCATTATTAATATCGAGTGTAATTATCAGTAAGTATGAATTTGTTGCTGTCATTTTATGAGTTTTTTTCATGGTATTCCTGTTTCTTTGTTCTGTATACTTTTCTATGCTGAGCTCAGTTTGTTTTTGAATCCTGTTATCATTTCCTTTGCTGTTATTATTTAAATATTTGCTAAATATTTGTATTTTCCTCTTTTTTATTGTGAAGTGAAAGTGTATCCGCTTTCTTTGAGGTTACTCTGTGATTTATTGTTTTCTCCCCAAGTTTAGAACAGTCCATTCTATCTTGCAACACTCTTGACTTCCTCACCATTTAGAAGTTCAGTAACTACACCGTACTTTCAGTCTCTTTGGTTTGTGACTGTCCTCATTCATCAATTGATGTCTCTGGTTCCCTGTTTACAATCTTGTCAGCTTATTCTACTTTGGATATGTCCATAGCTGTGGTTTGTGGGTTATAGTATCTTCTGTATTGATGGTCGGTTGTTGTTTGGTTTTATTGGGTCTCTGTTCAAAGGTCTCCCTTTAGTATGTCTTGTAAGCTTGGTCCGGTTTTAACAAATTCTGTTAATTTCTGCTTACCTGGAAATCTCCTAATTTCACCATCATATTTATATTTGAGGGACAATTTTGCCAGGTACATAATTCTTGGCTGGAAATTTTTCTCTTGCAGGGTTTTATATATACCATCCTAATTCCTTCTCACTTGAATGGTTTCTGCTGAGAAATCAGAGTTTATTCTTATTAATCGTCTTTTGTAAGTAATTTTTCATTTTCCCCATGCTGCTTTCAGGGTTCTTTCTTTGTCTTTGGTTTTGTTCAGTTTGATGAGGATATGTCTTGGTGATTTCCTTTTGGGTTCTATCCTGTTTGGGGTTCACTGAACATCATGTATGGATGCATTCTCATCTTTCATCAGATCAAGGCAGTTCTTTTCCAACAAATCTTGGTCAATTTTCTGGGTGGTTTTATTTTTCTCTTTCTGTTCTGGAATTCTGATTATACGTAGTTTCTTCCTCTTGATGGTATCCTGCATGAAACTTAGGCTTTCTCCGTTTTGTTTTGATCTTTTTTCTGATTGATCTCTTTCCAAAGACATATTCATGTGATTGTCTTCAGTCTCATTAACTCTATCTTCCATTGATTCAATTCTAGTCTTTTGCCCATTCAATGTGTTACCTATTTCTGAAAATTTAGTATTAATCTTCTGCATGTCTGTCTGTAGATTTTGCATCATTTCTTATTTTTCATTTATTTTGTCATTTTGTTCTTGCATTTTCTTCCAAAATTGTTCCAGGGTTTTGCTTAATTTTGTCAGTGTTTTCCTTGATCTGTCTCTCAATCCTTTGAAGATACCTAAATATAATTCTTTTAAATTCCTTATCAGGGAGTTGCAATACTGCTTCTTCCTCAGGAATGTGTTCCTGGTCTGTATCTTGCTCCCTTGTTTCGATCACTTTTTCTTGCTTCTTTGTGTGGATTGTGATGGTTTGTTGTCTCCGAGACATTGTGCCATTATTTTATTTAGATCTCTCTTAACTGTTTGTGAAGAGAAGCTAATGGTGAGTCAGGCTCTTCTTGGTGGTTGTTTATCATTGGGCAGTTGGTGAAAGAAGTGGTGACTTTCATTCAGGAAGTGAAGCTGCAGGAGTTGTGGGTATGTCATATGGGGACTCTTGCTGTCTCCCACTCAGTTAGACTAAAATAAAAATTGAATAACCACCAAAAAAGTGAAAGCAAGAGGACAAAAAACATACTGTATAATAATAACCAAACAAGGAAGGAAAAAAAAAAAAAGAACCCTACAATACCTGGGGGAAAGGGCAATAAGAGAAAAAAAAGTAGAGTAGGATAATAATGAAGAAAAAAATGGGAAAAACACAAAAAGAAAAACAAGGAATGGGGTTAACCATGAGAAAGAAAAATATTGCAACCAGGAACAGGATAAAGAAATGAAGCTGAAAACTAGAACCTGGGAAAGGACGAATAAAGAATAACAACAAAAAGGAAAATAATAATAATAACAATAATTTTAAAACAGACAAAAACAAACAAACTAGAAAAAAAAAATCCAGGTAGGGCATGCAGGGTCCATCTGAGCACACAGACTGGGATGGATTTCCTGCCAACCCAGAATTGGGTGAGGTTTTGGTCAAATTACTCTGCAAAGAAAGCTATACATAATACAACATAATTGATTTTGTGTAAAACAGCTTAACCAGATTTATGGTTAATGCTCCAGAAACTGATTTAGATTGTAAGCTATCACACTGGCAAAGTGTTCATTCAGTGACATGCCCATCTTTGGAGAAAGGCTCATTTCCTGCCTGTGAGCTCCAGATGCTGCTGCTGGTGGTGGCCCTGCAGTGGAGTCTGATTTATGGCACCCCCAAGTGTGTCAGAGGAGAACTGCTCCACAGAGTTTCCAAGGCTCTGATTCTGTGGAAGTAGATCACCAGGATTGTCTTCCAAAGTTCCTCTGAGTGGGTTTTAACTGCCAACATTTTGGTTAGTAGATGAGTGCTTAAGTGCACCTCCCAGGGACTGAATCCACGACGTTAATCCCAATTTTGAAAGTCTGCATAGTGACATTTATGTTCTTAGATTAGACAAGAAGAAAAAAACAACACTGCTACGTTTACCAAGTAGTTTTAAGTGTGTGCCCTGCCTGCTTCGCAACTGTTTTCCAAGGATCAGAAGCCCGTTTACTCTATTGTACTCTGTTGAGCTTAATTAATTTGTTCTTACTGGAGACAGACACACCAAGTTCCTGAATTGTTGCTGTCCTTAATACATGTCCAATTAAAACACGAGTTTATGTAAAGAATCCAATTTTCTCCATGTGCATTTGAGCTATGGTAGAGTGATACTGTAAGGTGTTTGCATACAGCCCCAAATACATCTTGTTAATGTTGTGTATGTCCTTGGGATTTGTGTGTCATAAAGGGCACCCTTCCCCATGGCCACAGGATCCTGGGGAAGACCAAGTCCCCTCCAGCGTCTGGTGGTGCTTTACCTTTGTACAGAATTTTGGGCACTTGGCAGGTGTGCCCATACTCGTTGTAGCAGCATTCCTTTACCCCAGAACACTCAGTGTCAACTTCACAGCTCTCCACACAGGCAGCCATGAACTCACTGTTCCAGTCAGGGGCCGGGCAGTTGCCCCACCTCACCCGGATGTATTTGAGGAACACACAACTGGTCAAGCATTTGTAGTTCTTCTGGGGGAACAGAGGCTGAGGGAGCAAAGAACACAGTCTTTTTGTTAAAGACCCAGAATCTGACCTCCGAGACATGGGAGAAGAAGTGTGGAGTACTTCTACCACCAGGATCCCACTGGAGTGCTTCTCAGAATAAATGGAGCCATTCTCTTTTCCCCAGAAAAGTAATGGCTAGGTTCATCTCCTGAGGGAGGATTGCGCATGGCTACAGCTCCCCATTGGTCAGAGAGACACACACCTATGTGCACACAGGGTCACTGAGGACTCTAGTCTATATCAGTTAGTTCAACATGGTCAAATGATTGATTTCAAATATTTAGAAAACATGTCAATTATATTTTGGAGAGAGAGAGGGAACTGGGGCAACTACACTGCTTTCCAGACCTCTTGCTTGTTATGAATGTGTTATGGACTGAATTCTTTCCCCAAAAAATGTGTGTTGCAAATCCTAATTTTGGTTATCTGTGGATATAATCCCATTTTGGAGGAGGTTTTCTCTGTTGTGTTAATGAGACAGTATTAGTTTGGGATGTGCTTTGAGTCAATCTCTAGAGACATGAAAGGGGCAGAGTGAAGAAGTGGAGACAGGGAAAGACAGATGCCATGCCATGTGATGATCACCAGAACTGCCAAGGAATGAAAGTTGAAAAGGAACAAGGACCTTCCCCATGACAGGCAGAGAGAGCCTTTCCCTAGTGACAGCAACCTGAATTAGAACTTCAAGCCTTCTAAATATGAGAAAATAATATTGCCTGTTAAAGCCATGCATTTGTGGTATTTCTGTTAAGCAGCACTAGAGAACTAAGACAGAAGTTTGGGATGAGGTTAAGAAGTTAAAGAACAGTTAGCCAGCGTGCAATTCAAAACAAGCATTGTTGGTTAATAGTCTTTTACTCACATAGTTTCAACCCACCAGCTGCTCCTCGGGAGGAGCTTAACTTTAGGCTAAAGCTTAAGCTTTAACTTCCTTATAGTTTTACAGCCTCAGAACCTGAGTGTGGGGTTCACTATGAGTTGGCATTGACTTGATGGCCATGGGTTTCATTTTGGTTTTTAGTGCAAGAAAAGTCTCAGCCTTTTCAATGATTTAAAAGCTGCACATGCAGCAGGGAAGGTGATTGTGATGAAGAATGTGCTGAGTTGGGATGAGTTCAAGCAGGTTCAATCATTTGAAAGTGAGGGCAAATTTACACGACACAAAGGGCAAGCAGGAGTTACTGTCGGTTTTGTCTTCATAACCCTGGGGACTGACTATATATTAGAATGGCTTGTTAGCAAACAGAGGTATATATATAATTCTTTGTTAACAAGTATTTCTTCGATTTCCCCACAAGCCCTAAACACTCATCAGAAGAGCTTAGTAATAGTCTTTAAAAAGTGGGACTCTTTCTATGATCACGATACCCAAACCCACTGACATTGAGTCAGATCAGACTCATAAAGACCCCTCCTTGGGTTTCCAAGGTTGTATCACTACGTAAGTAGATTGCCCAAACTTTCTTCCAACGAGTGGCTTGTGGGTTTGAACCCCCAGCCTCTGGTTAGCAGTCAAATGCCTTAGGTACTATGCCACCAGAGCTCACTGGTGATGCATTTATCAATATTCTGTCACAAAGTTTTTGAGTCTCACTTAACTGTACATATTTTAATATTACACAGACTTTAGACTGAATGTGTACATCAATTCTTTTACCCACGTTATTGTCAATGGATCACGTAGCAAAATAATATGAATTTTCCTTGAAAATCAACACACCCATGTATTGTTGTTGTTACCTGTCAAATAGTCGTGTCCTGAATAGTATCTTGCTGATGGACTTTTGCTTAAACCCCTAGTCAATCAAATATTAGTGACAGCAGGTAATCCCTAACTAATGAAGAGGATGCCTTATAGAAAAAGTATGAGTAACATGAAAAATAATTTCTCCTGTGTGTCTTTATCCTCCAGAAATAATGGCTGGAGACAGCACAGTCATCACCAGGACAACAGCTACAAAGTGTAAGGGCTTCCTCCTGTCCCTGAAATGAGTCTCTGGAGTAAGAAACTGCTTACCAAGGGAAAGTACATTCTCTGTGCTCTGGCCTTCTTCTGGCCCTTATAGAAGAGTCCAAGATACCCACACCAACCCCAGCCTAGACCCACATCCAACCCAAACCCTAATGCTACTTTTGCCTATGTAGAATGGTGACTGAGACAGGTATCGTAAGCCTCTGCCTCCATTCATTTGTGGAAGAGGGTGGACCAGATTACAACACCAGACTCAACCCTCAAACACCCAACACTGTTGCTAACTTTCCTTTTTCCTTATGTCAGGTGGTAGCCAAGACAGAAACTCTTACCCTAAACCTCACCCTAGTCTCATTTGCTAACAGAAAATGGTGGCCAAACAGTTGACCAAATCCATTCTCACCTGGGCCTTCTCTCCCAGCTGGGTAACATTTCCTAGCCATTTCCTTCTCTCCTATCTAGAAGAGACCATGTGACCAGTTCTCATCAATGGGACAGAACAAGAACAGCCTGGTCCCACTGTGGGTGTAGGCTTTTGCGAACTGAGCTTGTACTCTCATACCCACTCTCTCCTTCACTAGCCGGATGTGAATGCTACCACAGCCCTAATGGATGGCTAAGCAAAGAAAAGAAAGAAACTGAGTACTAGGTGACCAGATGAAGGAGAACAGCAGGAATGCCTACTCTTCAACAAGCAAAACATCAGCTTGCAAGGGTCGGCACTCATACATTTGTGGGTCTGTTTGCTACAACTGTTTGGTCTACTCTAGCTGATGCAAAGATCACTGTCTAACTGGTTCCAACCAAGGCCTTTCGTTTCCCAATGTTGAGTGTAAGAGATGAACAGGAGGGCACTTACTGTTGATGATTCAAGGCCGAATCAGTTAGTGATATAAAAAAACTAAACGCGGTAGCATTGGTGGCCACAACCCAGAGAGGAGAGTGTGGGCAACCCATCTAGCATGCTGCCTTTCTAGTGCTCCACCTTGATGACAGGCTGTGACTCATTGCTGCCTGGTGAAACTTTGTAACACCTACTGGAATGCTGCTTGTTGTTCCTCGCTGATGACTGAGTATGGCTTTCTGCCACCTGCTAACACCTGGGTAACACCTGGTATGCCTGTTGCCCTTACTGATGACTAAGTTTGACTTTCCACCACCTGGTTACGCCTGGGTGCCTTGGAAGGAGCTACTGTTGCTGCAAGTTAGGGCTGTTTACAGGGATTTCCACACAATGACACAGGCATGTTAATGCAGGAGGGGGTGGTTAAGACAAAAACTCATCATTATCAAAGTCCTCGGAAGGAAGGTCGGACAATGTACTTCCATAGAGATGCTGCTTCAGAAACCCAATGAGGGGTATCTATGAGTCAAATCAACTTGACAACAGTGAGTTTGATTTGTTTAAAATCAAAGTTCTTGAGGATAAAAGGGAGCTCTGGTGGCATAGTGCCTAAGGTATTTGACTGCTAATGAGAAGGCTGGTGAAACCACCAGCCACTCCTCAGAAGGAAGACTGGACAATCTACTTGCATAGAGATACTGCCTCAGAAACCCAAGGAGGGGTTGCTATGAGTCAGAATTGACTTGACAGCAGTGAGTTTGGTTTTGGTAAGGAGGAAAAAGAAGGAGCTCTGGTGGTGCGATGGTTAAGGCATTTAGATACTAATCAAAAGGTCAGTGGTTTGAAGAAAGAGGAGGCTATATATTTCTGTAAAGATAAATGTCCTTGGAAACCCAATGAGGGACTCTGTGAGTCAGAAGCAACTCCATGGTACTGAGTTTGGGTTTTTGATAAGGATGGGGGCGAAAGAAAGAAAATCTCTACCTGCTATCCAAAAAAGCGGGTTAATTCATTGAATATAGCCAATTATTTCTCATGTTGATGGAAACTGGAAAAGTCATCAGAACTCAAAAAGAACTTCAACAAAGATGAATTCTGGTCATCCAGTTAGGTAGTGGGGAGACAGGACCCAACCCCCCGAGCCAGGAAAGGGAGGGAACCACCAGGGATGACAAAAGTGACAGAATCCAGGTAGGAATTAGGTAAGGGGAGGGTGGAGAGGTTTCCAACAGCGAAAGGAGATTAACTTGTCTGTCAGTTTGTCATCCTGTGATGGCTTTCCCATTGCTGTGAGGCTTGAGGCTGTCCCACCAGTGTTTCAAAATCCAGCGGGGTTGCATATGGTGCACAGGTTTCAACACAGCTCACAGACTGAGACAGGGTTAATTCACTGAATATAGCCTATTATTTCTCATGTTGATGAAAACTGGAAAAGTCATCAGACTAGGAAGAAGGAAGAGGCCATCCATTTCTCAAAGAATTGGCCAGGGAAAACCTTACTAATAGCAGAGAAACATTGATACATTACTGGACAACTTTATGAACAGCCTAGAAACTGTCTGAAACAACACAGGAAGACGAACTCCTTAGCTCAGAAGGCACTCAATGTACTACTGAGAAAGAGTTGTCTCATTAGAGTAGAACCAACCTTA